TGTCTGGGTAAAGTGTTATGAGGTGATTATCTGGTCAAATGGCTTCAATACCACAGATGGAGTGGTGTGCTATGACTAAGAAGGTCATGTTTGGTCTTGCTTAAAGAACATTGCTTTTGGCATAAATTGCAGGAAATGTCTGCCTGCTCACTGCATATGCATTTTTAATGCTGCTTCACTGAGAGTCATCAGGGAGAGTGATGCTTATTTGCAGTCTTGACTTGTCTGCTAGAACAATTATTTCTACATTGTGCTTGAAAAGGTTTCCAGTCACATATCATACCTACCATATGACCTATTCTAGCTATTGAATTCAGGACAGCTTATGATATAGGTTCATTAACATATATCTAGTGTTCATTAGAACAATAGTCAAGGGGTGGGAGTGTGTGTGTGTGAGAGAGAGGGAGGGAGGGAGGGAACATACAACCAAGTCTTGATTCTACTCTTGTATATACCAAATCAAAACGCTGATTTCCTAGTAGCTTTATCTGCAGGGCCGGATTTAGGCTTAAATTATAGCATAGTTATTTTTATATATATATATATTTTTAAGTATGAAAAATCAGGCACTTCCTGCTATAGGATTGTTTCTATCTGGAGTCAAGTGGTCATCTTGGTTTTGGTTTTTTTTGAGGAAGAAATACATACACAGGAGTCCGTGACAGCTAGTTTGTAATCTTGTCAGTATTCCCTGTGAGTTTTAGGATCTTTGCTGATGTCTTTGTAAAAATACATTCCGGACAGAAGTATAAACCTCTAAACTTGCTCAGCCATCTGTGTTTTGAATTCCACAGATAAACTGCTAGGTGAATTTCATATTTATGGTTTTGAAGGCAGATAAATTAAAAATGTAGCATCCCAAAAGTCCCATAAAGTTTTCTTTGAGTTTTCTTTCAAATGAATTCAATAGCCAGGCAGACTTGCTGAGACACGGCATGACAAGCAGGCAGTGACCTTTTGAAAAGCTAGTTGTTTTCTAAGATCTGACTCTTGCAACTGGCAAAATTGAAGTGAGTCAATCAAGTCAGCTTTCCTTTAGCCATAGCCATAGATCATATACATGGAATGTGAAAAGCCCAGAATTATTTGTAAAGATATTAAAAGGAGAGGTTGTGTAATATATCCCTTTTTATGCAGTTAACTGTTGAGACAGCCAACTCTGCAAACCATGATTTTCCTGTGAACTTGGGGGCCATGATTTTAACCTCTGACATCACCTTAGCTGGCCAAGCAAAGGCTGTGAGCGCTGCTTACCGCACTGAACAAATAGATTTAGTGATTGCCACTCAAATATTTGTGTTAACTTTTAACTAACACAGACAATGAATAAGTTCTTCCCTTGGCCCACTCTGTAAATTTTTGAAGTGATGAGGGCCAAGTGTGAGAGGCTGCACTGGCTGCGGCCCAACTAGGTGGCATAAAAGGCCTGTGTAATTAAATTGGATGCTAATTTGCACAGTGTCCAGAGAGTTTTGATCCCCTTGGAAGACTTTGCATCACGCAAAGTGAACGGAAAATGTGACTGCTTTGTTTGTCTTCTATTTTAAACTAAAACCCAATTTAATTTCCTTCCAAAGCTGTTCCACTGACCTCAGGGCTGAGGCATGGAGGGGTCAAATGACTTCCCCTGGTCAAACAGGATGCATGTGGCATAGACAGAACATCCAAAGTCCTGGTCCCACGTCATAACCGTAAGGCCGTCTTTAGTGTGACAAAAGCTGATCTGTTTAAGCACATCCAGTCATCTGTCTGGGTTGTCTTTATGGGTCAATTTTCTAAAATACTGTAACGCAGTGGAATAATGCAACTCTAGTCGCTTGTAACAGAGAGCTATGAAAACGTGATTATTAGTTGGTATCTGATCCTGGAATTCACTGCTGAAACTCAAAGAACGACACTGTATATGGCACACTGTAAAATTTCTTCCCAGCAGGTCTGTGCCCTTATGTTCTAGAAGTATCTATTAATAATCTCTGTTTCTTTAGATTTGTCTGGCCCAGGATCTCAAGGTACTGGTGCTGAGTATCCGCCTGTTATATTCCTATGAAGTCATTTAGCAATTAATTTCTATTTCACAGATGGGGACAGGAAATGAAACCTCTGGTCAAACATTCTGAAACCTGTTTGCTTAAAATTAAGCAACTATATTCATAATTAAACAACTGAATTAAGGAAGGTCAGTTTTCAGAGGTGCTTGTGACCTCAGCAAACAGGAACAGACAGCAGTCAGAGAACAACTGCTAAGCATACACTTTATACAGACTGTTTACTATTAAAAAAAAAAAAAAAAGACAGGATGAAGTCTAAACTTGGATCTGTTCATCCAAATACGATACAACACTGTTCTGTAACCTGTAGCTGCCCCAATCCCTATTGCAAGGCTTCTAACCACACTTTCCTGTTTACTGAAAAATATTTTCCTCCCTCTGGCTCCTTTTTGCAACCCTAGACCAGCAGAGACTGAGGCAGTGCACTGCACTAAGCCTCTAGCAGTAGGCCTCAAAGCCAAGGGGAAATTGCTGGCAAAAGATCTGTTTTCTCTGTTGGGCCTCTGTTTGCAGACAGGTTCATAAAGGAGTCTTCCGACCCTGGAGATTGGCCATTTGTTAAAAGTCATACAGGGAATCAGTGACAGAATCAGGACATGAATTAAATTTCTTCATTTTCAAGATGTGGATTTGAACTGCAAGACAGCTCTGCCTCTAAGAATTTATTAATAAATAAAAAAAAATAAATTCATGTATTTAGGACTCTGTGTATTTCAAAAACACAAAGAAACCTCCATGCTGAATGATGCTTGACAGTTATCCCAGAAGTAAAAGTCTGCATCCTTATTGGTGTAAACCAGCAATAGTTCCACTGAAAATCCACTACTACTCATCTTGCTCGGGGCAGGGCCTAACACTCTTAATCCTGTTATAGAAGCACTTTGTATATGTGGATGTCAGCTGGAAAAGTTTCTGGGCTTTGCAAATGTAATTGGCAATTTTATCAAGCCTTACCCATAGAGTCTAGTTTCAGTGTCTGTGCATCGGATGCAATGGAAAGCAGTGTTCCTTCTGCCTTTTTTTTTGTTTTTTTTTTGCCTACTGCTAAAGATTTACTGCATTGGAAGACTAGAAATTAGAGGCAAGGGAAAAATACAAGCTTAGAAAAGTAATTCCTCAAAATACAATGCATTATAGAGGTGTGCTCCCTCCATGGAGGAGTTTTAAACTACAAGGGGCTTAGTAAATACTTGATATTTATTTAGTTATGTTTTCCTTCTGCTGTATAGCATCTTTGACATTCTAAATATAAAATGAACATTGCTGGGTACTTATCACATGCTTGTTACTGGCATTATTATTTTTAGAAATAAAGTGTTTGCAGCTACGCGTATGGGCAGAAAATGCGTGAATCCAAATATCGTTGCATTGGGCTAGCTCTTGAGAAACTTAAAAGCAAACCTTGTTAGTGACTGGAATGCAGGTGTTAATCAGCAAGAGTCTGAAAAGTAGCATTTACTTATTAATGTGCATAAATTCAAATTGAAACTATAGTTCTGTATACAGGCAAAAACACTCAAAAATCCAATTATTAACCTTGATGTCCAAATGTAGTGTTCCAGATGTTAGTGGTACGGCTCCTTGTTTAGACCATTTCTCAGCAGATGTTATGTTTGAAAAAATGACTCAGATGGGTGGTACTGGTATTTGATGCAAAATCTACCCCCACGGGGCATGTAATTACATAAATGCAGCCCAGTAAGTATTATTTTATCAGGACAACTAACCAAGTAGCATTCCTTCAGACTGATGTAAATTAGAAAGGGCAGATGTTATCATAGCCTCCTGACAGAATAGACTGTATTGACTTTTATTACATATTTTTGTATCAAGAGGTATAGAATTACACAACTTTTTTTTTTTTTTTTTAACCTTTTCCATCCATTTACAAATGAGAAATCTAATCCTGCCTATATGTGTGCACATGCGTAACTTCACTTATGCAAGTAATCCTTCCGAAATAAGTGAATGACTCTTTGGAGTAAAGATACATACATGAATACATTTTTCCAGCAGTGGTTCTATAGACAGCATACTCCTGAGACCCGACTCCTCTTGTCCTTTAGCCGGCAAAAATTAATGGAATTACAGGAATGAAGAGAAAGGGTCCAAAAGTGCAGGCTGAATTTCAGTTCTGGAAAGGAGTAAGTGCTCAGAAATGCACCAGCAAGCTCACCCATGATGCAGCTTTGGGCTGGTCATACTCTGCTGTCAGTCACAGCCTGTCAGTGCAGCTGAGTTCAGCCAGAGAATGTAGCTGCCAACAATGATAGAATTTAGCAGTATGTTTGTTTTGACCATGGTAGGTGCCCTTGTCAGACTGTGGTCATCTGTGCTGGGCTGTAGTTTTGGCAGTACCACAGAGTGAATGCAGAACTTCTTAGTGCTTTTTTCTTTCTCAACCTCTATTTGCTATCTGTTTTCCTGTTTTTCTTTCTTTCTGGCTTTTTCATTTGGCTTATATTTCTGTTTCTCCCCTCCTCTCCCTCCCACACTCTTCCTTTTCAGTTTTAGGAGAAAATTCCTATGTGAAAGATTGTGTTGTACTTGCGAGTTCCAGAAGCTTTTCCAATAGAAGAAAACTGAGAAACTGAGACACTATCTTTTTTTGTTGTTTTTTTCCTAAAGCTAGTTGGGCATCTCCGGTGACTGAATCAGCAAGACATTTCCAGCTATAGCTTTTACAGTCTGCGTTGTTCTCCTGGGAGGCTTTATTTTCTTTCACATGTTACATTTTTCTCAGCTCAATAGTGGAATAATACCATAGTTGTATGCCTTTCCCTTGAAATATGCTCCTTATGTTTCCTCCTCTACATCCCTTGCTGCTGGAGAATTTCCTTCTTTTGTGGTGTGGCAATTACATTGACTAGCTGTAGCTTTAAGGAAGCCTGGGAAGCAGCTCCCATGTTTTTTTCTACCCTTATTGTTGGAAATGTTGATATTTTTCAGGTTCATCCTCTACCCAAAGTTAAGTGATCCGCTGTGGTCAACAAAAAGAGGTAAAAATATTTGTATTATTGAATAAAACACAGGGGGCCAATTTAAAATTCAGCTCCACATTACTAAAGTGTAATTCTTACAGTTGTGGCTCAGCAAAGCATTTCAGCATGAACTTGAGCCCCCTGAATTCAACAGGATTTATGCATAAACTTGAAATTAAGTCTATATTAAAGGGATGAATATATGCATGAGCTTACCTTTTCAAAGACCAAGCTAGTTTTGTTATTCACTACTGCAAAAACTTCAAAAAAATTGCAATTCCAAAAGATGCAGGGAAAGTTTATGATCCTAGGAGGTATTCTATTATCAAATGAGGAGGAATAAATTCAGTAGCAAATTAATAAATCAAAAAAGACAATAATATAATCTAAGTACCTGATTGCTTCAAGAGTTAATGCAGTTCTCACAATAGCCTATATTTTAAGGCTATGAAATCTGTAGCGGAGCCAACAGATTCCCAAGTTCAAGTATTGTCTTAGCCAGAAGACCCAGATTCCTTGTTTTAATCCATTATCTTTTCTCATTAAAGTCTGGAGAGAATTGGTAGTGATTCAGCTTTGTCAGTCAATTCAGATAAGGTCTAAATATGTCAACTTATGATTTTTTTTTTTTTTTTTTTACGTTTTGCTGTGTAGCAAACTCTGCTAAGGTCTGTTGTTCTAGATGTTTTGTTTTTCTGTAGCAGAAGAGAAAATGATTAATGTTTTAGAGCACCATGTGTCAGGTGCTGATATAAATTGTTTTTAGAAGTCAGAGTATTAAATCTACTATTTCTAGTAGATTTAATGCCAGTAACATGTGGCATTTTATTCATTATGTCATTTTCTGGCATGCCAATAAATATTCATGGGTAGTTTTCCGTGTTGATGAGGCTTACATTTGTTCAGGTTCTTTGTTTGCAGCCTCCGAAATTAAGACCTAATTTTCTACTGCATTTCTTGAAATGGCTCTCTATCCTACAGAGCATCTATGAGGAAGGTATTCGTTTATTTGTTAAGTGCCGAGCATCTTTCAGTGCCAATATTCCAGATGAAAATAAGAATGTTAAATCTGCCTGGGTCTCATTGACACAGGTAAAGATGGATCCGTTCCAGCAAAGTGAAATGGGTAGATGTGAGCTCAGGTTCAGTGACCCTAGTTCACTGTTGTTTTGTTAATTTTGTATATTATTTGTGGAGTAACTTCTTAATGGCTAGATACGACACCTTCATAGGTGTTATAATAACTGTACTGTGTCCCAAAGAAGTCCTGCTGCAGTCAGCAGCACTGCTAGGCAGAAAGTCCAGCATCCAGCCTTAGGATGACAGAGAGGAAGAAGCCCAGGTACTTTCAGCTGATGGAGAAACCGTTGTCTATGATTTTGTTAACTATAATTTGGGGCGGGGGGGATGTTAGCAATGCAGGGGAAAAAAAGAAAGCTCTCTGGCATTTTTAACTGCACTTTTTTGCCTACATAGATGCCTGGTTCTTCTGATTTCTGCTATGATCCACACTTCTGATATGATCCATAAAAATTGTTTCAAAGAGGAACAGAGCAGTAAAATACCAAAAGTAATTAGAAAAGAATACAGTCAGTACTTCAATAAAAACTTTACAGCCAAGGATCTCACAGAAATTTATCAGTGATTTTGTGCTCAGTGCCCTCTGCTAAGAAATGAATGCAAGGAAAACAGTTCCTGAAGATTTCCAGTGTTGTTTATCCTGAGTATTACTTGAAATATATGCAGCCTAAAATACTCTACGGGCTTTGTACTAGTAATTGACAGCTAAAAAGTGATAGGTATGTGAAACTTAGTCAGTGTATTTATTTTATGACCAAGAACTCAAAAGAATTACAGGTTACTACTTGCAGTGCAGTAAAACAGTTCCCTTTTGACAATTCTGTTCCTTTTCCTCCCCAGAAAGAAGCTGTGCAGCATGGAATTCGAAGATTTTGAGAATTACTCTTATATCTATGACCTGTCTGAGGAAGATGAATCACCCCAGTCCTCCCTCAGCATTGCCCATATGATTTCCCTTTCCTTTTACAGCGTGGCATTTCTGCTGGGAGTGCCAGGTAATGCCATTGTCATCTGGTTTATGGGCTTTAAGTGGGATAAATCTGTCTCTACACTCTGGTTCCTCAATCTGGCCATTGCAGATTTCATCTTTGTTCTCTTCTTGCCCCTGTATATTACCTATGTGGCAATGGGCTTCCACTGGCCTTTTGGGAAGTGGCTCTGCAAAATGAACTCGTTCATTGCACTCCTTAATATGTTTGCCAGTGTTTTCTTCCTGACGTTCATCAGCCTTGACCGCTACATCCGCCTAGTCCACCCAGTCTTTTCCTACAAATATCGGACTGTAAGGAACACCCTCATTCTTAGTGGGATCATTTGGATCTCGGCTGCAATTATCGGTGGCCCCGCCTTATACTTCAGAGACACAACTACAGTTCTCAACAACATCACCCTTTGCTACAACAACTTCCATGTGCATGACAGAGAACTCGTTCTGCTGAGACACCACATTCTCATATGGGTGCGACTTGCATTTGGTTACCTCTTTCCACTAGTGACCATGGTCATTTGCTACTCGCTGCTGATTGTGAAGGTGAAGAAGAGAACTGTACTGACTTCCAGCAGGCTTTTCTGGACCATCATTGCTGTAGTCGTAGCTTTTTTTCTTTGCTGGACACCATATCACATATTCAGCATTGTGGAGCTGTCTGCTCACCATGATGAAAACTTGCACGGCTTATTGCAGGATGGCATTCCCCTCTCCACTGGCCTTGCTTTCATCAACAGTTGCCTTAATCCAATCCTCTATGTTCTGATTAGCAAGAAGTTCCAGGCCCAGGTCAAGACAACTGTCTCTGAAGTGCTAAAATTAGCACTGTGGGAAGTGAGCCGCTCAGGGACTGTCAGTGAGCAGCTGTGGAGCTCAGACAACACCCATGCACCCGCATGCTATTGCGAAACTGCTCAGTGACTGCTCTTGTCACTATCCCTCTCCAAAATAACTGGCAGGAGATTTGGAGATGTTCTTGTCTTCACATCTGCCTTCAGATGTGCATCTTTGCATAAACAGTTTTATGTAAACAACTGGCTGAATTGCGCATGCTGCTTTCCTTGGAAGGTTTTTACAGGACACATCATTTGGGTGCGGTGTGGTTGCAATGAGCCTGAACTGAAAGCTGTCAGCATAACTGGAACTGCTCTAATTTGGTTTCTGAACAGGAATGTGAATATTTCTATTATTAATCCTGTTTTGTTGTTGTTGTTGCAATTCCATACCTTGATGACTTAAAAAAAAAAAAAAACTAAAAAAAAAAATTCCTCCTTGCCCTCACTGACAATGCTGTAGATCTGGGCATCCTCATCCCATCCTGGCTGTACGTCAGTGGGTTATGACAGCCCTGAGTGTCTAGCGCTGCTTAAAGGAATCTCCTGGCTACACCATAGCTAAGCAAAGCTGTCAGTGGTTCCCCTTTCCAGTCAGAAAGGATCCCAATATAGAGAACACTGAATTGTTGCCTTCTCTTGTTAAAAAAGAACAACACAGAAATAAATTCTGATTTCTCCCGTTGCTCTTTGCCTTACACTCAAATAGGTAAGGCAGGAATCACTGTGCTTGCTGGTCACTTACCCCCTTATTCTTGTGTTCTTATTACTAGTTGGATGTACAATACTGAGGTGGTTTCAAATAAGTATTTGGTTCATTTGAAATGTGAGCAGAATTAGTAGAAATGTTTCTTTGAGAAGCTGAGATTAAAGGCCCCCTGCCACACACATACTTTCTCTGGGCTTTAGGTTTGAAGAGGTTCATGACAATCAGTTGCTTTTTATTGCTCTCACAAAAAGAAAAAGGTTAAGAAGTAATTTAACGCTTTGTTTGCCTTAATGCAAACCTTCTAAAAATGGATGCAGTGAATTTGGCACGGTTCTGTTACAAGCCAAATTCAGACCTCTTTGCCGAGCTAGAGGCAGGACAATACACTCAGGAAATAACATCTATTCCAATAAGAAAGAGGCAACAGCCCTAATGAAGTTATATCCCACTCCAACTTGTTGCTTGCTGTAGAATCATTCATCCACCAATGCACACAGATACATGCTAAATAAAGTGGACCAATATCTGAGGCAAAACCACTGAATTAAGTTGAATGTGAGATAAAGCTCCATTAAAAGTAGGAGCATAAGATTTTGGGTTCAATTTGACCAGTATTTCCTCATTATTGGCCTCAGAATGAAGAATCAAATTGCCTTTCAGATGATCTATCTAGTTTCTGTGGCTTGACAATACGTATATGGCCTTAATTGAATTATAAATTTTATTTTATGTAAATACATTTCATACGAAAGCAAATACACACACACAGAGGAGCACATCCCTATATGGGTAGCTGTGCAAATAGAAACAATCTGACTGTGGTCTGTAACTATGTTTCTTTAGGCTCTGGTTTAAAGTTGGGAGAGTTAAGGTAGGATCAGTGGAATTTCAATGTATTTATCTTTGGGCTGGAAAGTTGGTAGGCAGCACTTTTTCCTCTGAGTCACTCACTGCCTGGTACATACTGACTCATGATTGTCTTTTAGACATATTCAGTAGTGTGGTGCCAAATCAAACATTTTGCATTTTTTCTTCACATATCCCCTGACATCTTTCTAAGAATGATGTGTTAGTGCTATGCTCCTGACTGTACTCCAAGTGGAGTAATAAAATTTTGTTGTCTCTGAAGAGTGTGTTCATTTGCTTTTGTCAGCAGCAGTAAGGGGTGACTGTCTACATTCTTAGAAAAGCTCCTTTGCAAAGATTTTGGATAATAAAACAAACTGTCCTTTCTTCTGCTTCAGGAATTAAGATTTATTTGTTTTCACCTTGGATGTCAGCTACACAAGCATGAATAGTGGTATATAAAGAGCCTGATTTTGAAATATGTGTATGGCTCTGTCCTCTGTAAATTATCAGAGGATGTTTCCACAGTGCTTTACTAGGATCAGTACTTCAAAAGCTCCAACAATAAAAACTACAGTGCCAGCATCTAATCAACACCTTGAGCTAAAGCCTCCCCCAAAGTAGATACAAACCAGCTACAGAACAGAATTTAGTAAAGCAAGAAGGCCAAAATCATTCCTGTCTATGGAAAGAAACGATTAACAGCTTTGCAAAGTAACTACTTACTCATTCACAGCAAGATCAGCTACAGGATTCTCTCTGCGTTATTTCTGCAAGGGTAACAGAAGATACCTAAATTAAAGAGATAGCATTCTAGGTCTCTGCTTCCAAAGAGCGTCTAAAACAACGCAAACAATTCTCATGCTGCTTGGACTGAGAAACGCTCACCCAAATCACCACAGTGGAAAAAAGCCAGAGGAAGGGTATTCATCCCATCTTGTTAAAAGACACTGCAGAAATAACTCAAGAATGAAAAATAGCTTTAAGGTTAGTCAGCCAGCCAGCCAGCCAGCCAGCCAAGAATCATAGCTATCAGCAAATCTGATATTTGACAGACTTACCAGCAGACTCCAGTGACTTACTCTCACCTGCTTCCCAAACAGTTTGTACCTCTGAAGCTTGTTAACTAGATTAGTTTGCAGTTTACACTTTTGTTTAAACATTTTCTTTCTGTAAAATCTTGTAGCTACAGGCATTGCTGAATGCTAACACCTGATAAAGCTAAACCAGTACATTTTCCCAGTATTTCTGTATATCACATATTTAACTTCTTGTACTTTCTGCTGATCTTACTGTTATGGGGTACACATGGGATAGAAATGCCTCCTTTACTCTCAGATCCTGATTTTTCACAGGCACAATGACACTGTAACATACCACCACATCCCCAACTACTACACAAAAAAACTAAGGTACGTAAACTTGAGTTTTGTAGAATTGCCTTGTGGCCAAGACATTACTATTAAAATGGGACTTATGGCTGCTCAACACCCCACTGTAGTATCAAGTACTCCACAAAATCGCTGAGCTCTGTCTCACCAGTGGTATTAACTATTATCCTGAAATTGCCACGCACACCTACCTATCTATTCTGCAACAGAGGAGAATGTGCTCTGTATCTTTTTTGTATGGTTCCTATGCAGCAAGTTTTCTTCTGCCTCCAAGAAAACCAAATAAATTGTACATGCACACTGAGCATAAACAAAAGATACAAAAATCAAAGCCAGTTGTGGCAGGCCAGGTGCACAGCTCATGTAATACTGTCTTTTAGCAAAGGAAGCCTATAAGTCAAACCATTATATCCACTTAGAGCTTTAATTTCAAGGTCAAAGAAAGTTTCAAGGTCTGAATAAGAAGTGCTTTGAATGGAATGTCACAAAGGGCAATAGCCAAGAATAACAAAAGGGTTTTTTTTGATGTAGCATTTGCTAATCTCTTGTTTTTAACAGCAGCATGTGGGAAACACTGAAAGTTACATGCTGTAGAGCAGCCAGAGAAAGGAGACTGTGCATTAAGGTAATTGCACATAGGATAAAGCTAGTCTCTTAGTTAATTTTATGGAAGGTAGGGATAGAGCCTGTAATTATACTTTTGGTTTTTAAATCATGCTTTAAACCTCTGGCTGGCAGATCTTTTTCTAAAAGAAATTGCAAAACAACGTCTTTACATAATCTGAAACTGGCAGACCTTTAAACAAAGAGAAACAGGACCTGCTGTACCAGATAACCACATGCAGCTGCTCAGCAAAACCAAGAACTGTTAGCTTCAACTGCAGCTATCTGGCTCCACCACTGAGCACCTTCTTGTTGGTGACTGACATGGCACATGGCTTGTTTCGCAGTCACAGTAATTCTCTCTCAGTTCAACACACCCCCTAGAAATGCAAATTTGTCTAAAAGCTTTACATTACTCCTATGGGTTATTCAGCATTACTTTTTGGAAAAAGTTTAGTTCTGTTGGGTTCTTCAGTCTTTAAAAGGTCAAAAAAATCAACTCTGAAACCAATCTGCAGCCAAGTAAACAGTTCTTTGTATTAGCTAAACTAGTGTTAGTTACTGTGTGTCACTACCTTTACATTTTAATTGAACACTAAGTTTGTTATTAGACTGGAGCGTGCTTCACCTTCAAATTTGAAAAGCTCTCTCTCCATATAAAGATCCTCCTTCACCTTAGCATGCAATTACTGCAACCCATTAATTCTCACAAAAGCACATTCAGGGGGTTGGACAATCAACTCTATGCCTTGTAGAAGGCATATACTGCCCCCTAGTCATTTTTAAGTTAATAGCATCTTTTCAGTAGCAGAAGTCTACTCTTAAGGATAACCAACACTTCCCTGTACTGTCTGAGGTACAAGACACACCAAGACCTCAAAACAGGCAGTCAGAAACTGTTCTCACAAAAGCTCTTCTCTCAGCTTCTTTCGTGACCTCAGCTATCACAAAATAGGTGATTTTATTGGCCATCATTTTAACATCACAATTTGCCCCAAGAAAGGGGCAAATATTTCTACAATTTCAGTGTAAAATTTAACACCTCAGAGGAAAAGGAGATCAAAATCTAAACAGATCATGGTTGAAGTTCCCACAGCAGCTTTAGGCCAGATAATCAACTTGCATTAGAGAAGGTTTCTAGTGAAATTGAATTTAGTCCTTCCTGTTGCCTTTAACTTGCCTTTCATTTATTGCCTTGATGATAGTAAGCTCTAGCTTTCAACAAGTAGCACAGTATAAATTCTTAGTCATCATCCTTAAACAGAAGCAATCAATACTCCTAACAGAACAGCTAAAAGTTACTTGCACTTTGCCCTAGCACCGCTTTTTCCCTTAGAGCAATCCCCCCTTCCAGAGGGATTACAAACAAAATTTAAGGATGTGGTATCCCCTTTCCCCCCTTCTTCTACCCCCCAAAATGGAACGAAGGGTATTCCAGATTTTTAAAGCCATATAAGGGTTAAATGCTATATTGGTGGTAAATACATAAACTTTTTGTAGTTCCTTCACAAACTGGGCACTACAGTGGGTGCCAGGGTGTTAGAGCAGCCCTGAAATTCACTTTAACCTCTATTCTACCCATCAAGCTTTACACTAGTAAAAGATAAGTCTGATTTTGCATTAACCAGAAACACAGCTCTATTTTTGCTTACATTTATTCTAGACATAGCAAGATTTAGATTTTATTGAAAGCAGCTACATCCATCGATTGTACATAATCTTCAAAAGCTGTTATTCTTTCTTCCAGCATATCTGTTCCAACTTTATCATCTTCAACAACACACTGAATCTGAAGCTTTTTGATACCATAGCCAACTGGTACTAGCTTGGCTGTCAAAAGAAAAAGAAAACATTTAATACTCCTTGGTTTATGAAGTCTCTAAAGAAGTGCATGCACATCAGATAATTCACTAATTTGCAGGGATATAAGTGCCACACATACACAGCTAGTGCTACTTACACTGCAGTTTTGGAATCCCTCCACTACTCCATTAGCTACCTGTATTTCTACAGAGCAGAAAACAGTGACCACAAATCTGTCTACTCATACAATTTAAAAAACACTACTACATCCCTCTCCCTTGCTTTGCATTTTTCTCCTACTTACAAGATCCCCAGACCAAGCCATCTACTTGAATGCTTCGAACACACTCCTCTAATTTGGCCATGTCTGTCTCATCATCCCAAGGTTTCACATCAAGCAAGATTGATGATTTAGCAACAACAGCTGGTTCTGGAAGGAAAAAAGGGAAGAAAACCACCATAAGTCCTCAGGAGTTTCCAAAAACCCTCATATCAGTACACTTATAAACAAGAAACACCTCACATTACTGAGGCAGGCCTCTTGTACCAACATGCATTTCAAACACTATACACATCCCAGTGTTTAAGATATTTAGATACACAGGTTGAGATCACTGCTTTCACAAGAGAGCATACAGTAAGAAGCTGACACTGTTAGTTACATAGCAAGTCCTTTTCAGAGGTTCTGAGAAGGAGCTAATACCATGTAACAGTTTATTTTCCACAGAGGGAATCCTGCAACTGCTACAGTTCTGAACAGTTCCAGACCAGTAAGCTGTGGAGTCTGCACTTTCATATCACAGCCTTTTCTCTAAATAGAGAGTAGCTTCTGACCAGCCTTTTTACAAGTCACCTGTAGAGGGATTCTAGCATAGGTGCATTTTATGAACAAAGCAGAAGTAAAACTGGCAAAGAAAATCCTGGGCCCATCTCTTTGTAGGTAAAGCTTGGCCTTTTGGTAGAGCAAATTCAAGTAAAGTGAATTATTTGCGTCTCATTCCAGTCAAGTAAGCTCTATCTATTACAGATTTAAAAAAATTCTGTTTTCTAGTCAGCCTGTTCAACTACATGATGCAAACATAGAACAAAGTTTTTAGTAGGCATACTTTTGGACTTCTTAGACTCATATTGGGCCAGGCGCTCCTCCCTTAGTTTCTTTGCTTCTTCACTTTCCTGAAAGAGAAACTGAAGTCACAGGAAAGCACCAACAAAACATCCACATCTTCAAAGCACTATTGAATTGACTGGCATCTAGTCAGGCAAAAACAAATCATCACAATTGTCAGTCGAAAGATGGTGATTTTTTGTTTCATTCATCATGTAACCAGTCAAAGTTAAAGACAACAATTGATGTCATTGGAATATATTCCTCTCTACTCTGGCTTTTTATGTTCCCAGACTTTTCTTCTGCTCTGCCAAAGCAGATCAATCTGAGGATTCTGAATAAGACCTGGTATCAAATAAACAAAATCAAGGTAGTCTAAA